CCTTTGTTTGTCCCCCTACATTTTTATACTTCTGTTCTGTTGTGTTAATTGTTGGAATTGACTTTGTATTGTGTATGCTTGTTATTGTGATTTTTTTATCAAATATGCACACAAAATGAATTGAATTGAATTGAAGATTTCAACAACTATTTTTCTTCTATAGGGGTAAACTTAGCTGAAGGTATTCCTCTTTCAGCTAAACATTCTTTTTGGATACCTGTGCACACCAAACCCCAATACCATTCTTCTCACTCCTATAGTTAAAGAACATATCATTGATATTGTATCTAAATTAAATAACAAAAAGAGTCCCGGCTATGATGATATTAATTATGTTCTTTTAAAAGGTGTCATATCTTCAATTGTTAATCCCTCAGTACACATTCTTAATCTATCGTTACTTAAGGGACAAATCCCAGATAACGTCAGCATTTCAAAGATCATGCCTCTGTACAAAAAAGGTGATAATTTGCATGTTGGTAATTATCGATGAATTTCTTTATTATCCTCCTTGTTGAAATTCTAGAAAACGTTGTTTATCGTAGAACTGTTAACTTTTTCAAAATTTCAGTTTCGATTAAGAGAAAAACAATAACATGCCACTATTCAATTTTGTTCACAAAGTCTGAATTATGGGATACTTGCTTGGGGCAATACGCATCAAACTCTATAAGATAGACTTTTTTTTATTACAAAGTCCTTCCGTATTATCTACAACTCTGCTATACTCTCATACACAGACCCGTTATTTGTTAATAGCCGAGACTATTTGAAACAAATAACCTGTATCTATTTCAATTAGGATAATGTATGTATAACTACAGTAGAAAGACCCTACCCTATTGATGCCATGTTCCCCCTAAATCGGTCATTTCATGAATACCCAACTAGACGGTCTAACGAGTTTCACCTACCACTCTTTAGAACTTTATTAGCGAAGAAGTCATTTATGTATGATAGTCCTGAATTTTTGAATTTTCTAAGTGAAGATATTAAAAATAGTCCATCGCTAAATTCTTTCGAGAAACATCTTTAAATATTTTTAATCAAATGTTAAAGTAATAGACAATAATAATAATCTGATAACAGCTAGTAATCATCTAAATTTGTTATTCGAGTCGTCATCATCTGCTCGAACTATTGAATATTTATTTGGTCTAATGATCTTGGTCTTAATTACCTTCCCAGAAACACCAAATAGACAATATAACTACCTTTTATTCGTTCTTGATTTGTACTGTTTCTACCCCCCCCTTTCCCCTTTTCCTTCTTATTTTATCTGTTTTCCTCTTCCTTGTCGTTTCGTGTTTGTTTGTAGTTCTGTAATATTGTTTTGTGTTTTCCAAGTCTTCGTACTAGACACAATTTGAAACACAAACTACGAGCACTGCTTTTTAGTGGTTCCCTCCCCCCCCCCCCCATTTCCTCAGAAATTAAGAATTTATTTTAACAATTTTATTTAAATAATGTATTTATGTGTACAGTGTAGCTTATTTGTATACTTATCAAGATTTTTTTTTTTAATGAATATGTACGTTTGTTCATACTTTCTGTAATAATATCTGTAATGCCTTTGTTTATCTTTCGGTTGGAAATGAAATAAATACGAATTGAATTAAAGTGATTGAATTCTATCTGGACCATGCTAACCGTGTTTTTCTTTTTGGTGTGTGTGTGTGTGCGTGCGTGGGTGTGTGTGTATGTGGTTGTGTGCGCCATCACCAAGACTATGGTGATGGTGGTTTAAGAATGATAGACTTTAAACTATTTGTGAAAATTCAAAGTTTTATGTGGTTAAAGAGACTTATTAATGGAGAAAGAAATATGGAATGGAAGCTATATAATTACTATAGCTTTTACACAGTAGGGGTAAAAATATTTTTTCCCTTTGCGGCTATGATATAAAATTATTCACCTTTAAAGCATAAATATTCCTTTTAGAAATGTTAAAGGCATGGCAAGATATAGGGAGTTGTAGGAATTTTCAAGAAGGGAAAACTAATCCAATAATGTTTAATAATGAATATTACCTTTGTAAAATGTGATTTTGTTATGAAGCATTGTATGAGAAAAATAATTATTTAGTTAAACACATTATCGATGAGCATCAAATCAGACCACTCACTAATTTTCAGAATTAAGGTTTGTGTAGTGAAAATAAAGCTAAAATTTGGAAAATGTTTAATGTAGTTTTAAGGAGTATATTATTATGACTGGAGGTCAGACAATTGGTACTCAGTAGATGCACAATATTAAAATATAACCTTAAATATATCTGTAAATATAACCCTATTAAAAGATGTACCAACTAGAAAGGTTTAAGGTCGTTTTATTACATATTTAAAACATTCATGAACTTTATGAACTCAGAATAGACGATTTTGATACAAATTTAGAAATACAAAAATACTCCACGGAGCAATTTTGAGAAAAGAACTTCTCTCTAGATATGGCTCTGTTGACAATGGCCAGTGTTATTTTTGTAACCAAATGTCAGAACCATAACTATATTTACTTTGGGATTGTGGATATGTCAAAGACATGTGGCAGGGATTGATTGAAAGAAAGAATCGGGTAAGTAGAACTATAAAACGCAAAGGGAGAAAATATTCATGTTGGCATTATAGGAAATTCAATTGAAACTAGATGCTGCAATATAATGATTTTCATAATAAAAATTGTTATATTTTGGTCAAGGTCTGAGGGTGATTATAGTGATGAGGAAAAGAAAAGAACAAAACTAGGAATACATCTCCAAAAGGGGAAGTATTAAACTACATCCAGTGTCACGAAATACCCCGCATCTACAACAGACTTGAAGAAGAGATAAAATATTACAATGTTATCTTCTTCTTTTTCATCAACACTCTATTATTGTAAATCATTCTAATTTAATTTATCAAGAATGTTGGCGGTCGTTGTGTTTCGTGTGTGTGAATGTGTACTGTGTGCGCGCGAGTGCGTGTGCGTGCGTGTGTGTGTATGGGTGTGTGTGTGTGTGTGTGGGGGGGGGGGTAATTGGGGAGGAGGGCGGATGGTAAAGTGATAGGAATGGGTTCCTTGATTTAACGGGCAGCGAAGGAAGAAAGTCAATGTAGCATTGTTACAATAAGTGAGGAAGGGTTGGAGGCTAATTTATATATATCATGATAGATTTTATTCTGTATCTTTAAACAAAAAAACTCAGTTACAGGTACTACGTCCCATTTGCAGGCCACAAAAATGAAAAGGTTAAATTCCACCGGCATTTGAAAGATAATACCAACATTTAGAACCTGCTTTGAAGCGATAGAACTTGAAAATGTCCTTTTGAAATGATATAGATTTGTAAACTGCTGCATTTTAAAATGAAATGGTTACAATAATTTCCCCTTGTTATATATTTTTCACCAAATATAATTGTTATAATCTAATATCAGCTATGATTTTTCCTCATTGAAAAGAAAAGGTTTTGTTATAGATTTCAAAATTCTTTCCAACTAAAGTTTGGTGCATGATACATGTACAACTTCACCGGTTACGTCACATTTTCAAGAAAATGGCTGCGCCTATGTCATGCTATAAATATCTTCATTTATATATCTCTTGTAAATTTTCGTTGGGAATATTATACATGAAAGTGCAGGAATATACATCTCATTTTCAGAATACCTACACTTATTCTTTGAGGTGAGGTTTCCTTTAATGCCGTCGACCCACGGGTTTCTTACCTACAATCATAAGCCTACATAATTATGCTTTCTAAGCAGTGAGGTCAAGTGACTGAACCACATCATGGCACCTCCATGGTTAAGATTCTAACTTTCTTGAGCCGCGAAATGACCCTCGAGGATCTTCAGTCAATAGCTCCATGATAACCACCCATACGAAAGCATTCCGATTTTGGGGTTACCAGCGTGAAACCCATTACCTATTAGATTATCATCGCCCCGTATGAAGTAAGTGAGTGCATCTAGGCGTGTGTCCGTGATCTAATTAAGTGCATGAGTCTAATTGTATAGAAGAATAACAACCTAAAGGGGGACAGTATTGTGTATTTGTGTTGTAAACTGTAATTATCCATTGGTGTCAATCAGGCTTTCACCTAGTAGAGCAACCTTGACTGAATATTCTACCAGTGGTGGATCCAGGGGCACAGGGGATAATGCCTCTCCCCTCTCTGAAATTTTGAACTTATTTGTATTTTAGGATTATCCTTATCTCTTTTTCTAACTTACGTCTCCTTTTTGTTTATCTGTCCGAAACATCAATGTTTTAACTGTCTTCACTGTGTTTCTTCAATTATTTATCTATTTTCATGTACCTTTGTACCATATCCTCTTCATTTTTTCTTGTTAAACGATAACAAACCAACACATCTTTATACTTTATTGATGATTATAAATAATTATGTATCCAATTGATTTCAATACGTACTTAAGTTCTTAAAAGGAGTTTACCATTACAAGCCACACTTTTCAATAAGCCCCTCATGTTCATCATATTGAAAAAAAGTCTTACCGTCAATAATGTTCAAATTGTCAAATTTCCTTCATTTTGTTTTGTTTTGTTTGTTTTTATACTATAGTGATAACATGAGTAACAAAATGAGGACACTTTTAGGTAACATTATTATTTAAGCCAGGAAAAAGAATCCAATAAATCCTGCAGTTGATCTACGCCATGCGAGGCTGCTAAGGTACACCCCCCCCCCCCCCCGTTTAACAAAATTCTCGAAACACCACTGTCGGCCCTTGAAACCTTAATATACAGTTAATCCAATACCTTTCATCACTACTGAACAAGTGTGCATGGATGGAGTTTCATTGTGCTCTATAATTAGCTATATTGATTACATCAATTAATCACAGTGAAAGTAGATCGGATAAATTGGAAAGTTCGTTCGGGTGAAACTAAAATACAAAATCGTATCTTTCACTCCCACATGATGTAATTGGAATTTAGTGCATTATCTGTCAATCGTTGGGAGGAGGAGGATGTACCTGCCATGATGATGATACTGTTGCCCATGGTGATGGTGATGTGGATGCTTGTTCAGGCTGAAGGTACGTGAACTAGTTTTACTTTAATATAATGTAGATGTTCACCAATAAGCGTATTATGTGTGTGGGATAACAAAGGTGAAATACAAACAAACTATGCTTAATATATTGCCTCTTGCTCGTTATCGATGTTGGAATATCATTTGAAGGAGGGTGTGGCCATTTTAAACGATTTCAAAATCTTTTAAAATTTCTCTTAACACTTTTGTTAAGGTATGTTATAGAGATTGTAGTGCTTTTAAACTGTTATATTCAAATAGCGTTGGGGATTATAGGCATGATCAAACAACAATTACATTAATAGTATACCGTTGAGTGTTAAACAGAGGTAACAATAAAAATCAGAAAATGAATACGGGAGAAGCAATTATAAGAAGGGAGTAAAAATTAGATAGCATTTGAACCCGGGCTTGTTAGTTTCTTTTTGCTTGTTTTGTTTTTATTTTTCTACATTAACTATGAGCGCAAAGTCTTTAAAGAACTCAATTTCAGGACCATTTCAATATCACTATTGTATCGCCCATACATATTACAAATATACATAATGAGTTTATAGTGCCTTGAGGTGTAAGTCTTTGTAATCGTGATATATCTAAAGATATGTCAATTGTTTTCCATGTCAGGTGAAGCCACCAGCCTGAATTTCTGCCAGTTACCCTGTAAGAACATAACCACTTCATCAGGAGAGCCCATCCAACTTATCCCCAAACGGGTTTCCAAGACAAATAGCAGTAGCCATGGCAACCTCGAAATATTCGGGTCGTCAACGTTGATGTTGATTTGCAAAGTACCAAGTAAGTTCAATGTAAATGGCAGCATTTTTATAGATTTATTTATATTTAATCGTTTTACCAGAGTTGTACGCACACAGGACAAAATTTGACGAAACGTGAGTTGATAACAGTAAAAAAAAAAAGGCCCTTGCTACTCAGGTTATCTAATTAAACAAGGGTAAGAAAGAAAGAAAAAATGTGGAGTGGTGTTGCAAATTTGTGCAGATATTTGCAACACCTGACGACACAAATTGTACAAACCGGTACAAATTGTCGACGACGACAATTTGTCGCCAGTCGTTGAATATGTAGCGGTTAAAATAACAACGGCGAGAAACATAAGTCTTGATTTAGGATTGGGGTGAGGGGGATGATCTCAAAAATTATCCTCCTACATTTGAAAGTTGATAACAATGATGATAGTAATACCACTGCTATTGTTAACGCCGTGCGTGGGAGTGGAAGTTTGTGTGTTGGTATGTGTGTCTTTATATAAATATAATTGAAACTTGAGTAAATTTAATTACACAACCGATTCGGGGTCTGACCACTTGACAGAAGATCCATGAGACCGAAGGCCCGCGAGGCCGATTTTTCCCCTCAGATTTTTAATTTGTTTTCCCCTTCTGATTGTTTTCCTTTCTCTGCATGCCTCCATGTAAGTGTACGTCAACCCCCCCCCCCCCTCCCCCACTGCAAAACGTTCTCATTCACATAAGAATCATTCCTTTTCGCTCTTTTGTTAATTCTTACATGATAATCGTCCGGTAAATGATGTTAGTTTCAATCGCATCATGACATCGTTGGCCAATTCTTATACATTTACTGGCCTCTTTCTGGTATTACGTCAGTTTTATTCATTAAAATAAAACTTTTTTTTTAAAAATACTCTCAGTTTCCACATTGATCCTTTTAGTAGCAGTATAATTATGTACTTCATCGACAACAACATCAGAATAAAAGTATTTGTAATCATAAAGGTATCGATTTGAGCTCACGAAAATGTCAAAAGTTTGTTTTATTCGTCCAAATGTAAAATACAAACAAAAACAATACATTTGAATGAAATAATTAAACGTTTTCAATATTAATTGCTTATAAACATAATTAAACAAAAACCCATTTTTAGTATATATAACTTAGCAATAAAGTAAACTTATAAGTACATAAACATAATTTATATGTCAATTATAAATTTTATTCACATATTTAAAAAACTTAAACAAATATGGAGGTTAGTTTACCGGTACAATGCCTCCTCCTCCCTGCATAAATAGTCAATTTTGACTGAATTGCCACTTTGAGCTTTGAACTTGATCGTTCAGTGTAATGTGATTTGATCATGGCTGTCGACAACATGTGCCGTCTTAATCCGGCAAAAATTGTCGCCGTCAACAATTTGTACCGGTGGCGACAATATGTGCCGTCAGGTTTTGCAAAATTCGGGACAAGCTGTCGCCGTCGACATTTTGTGCCGCAACGAGAGGTATCATACTCATATATCTTTTTCGACTCCCCTTCGTCAAATCCATGACCGTGAATGTACTTTTATTTGATGAGAGCAGTCTTTGTGCTATCAAAAGCAGAGATGCACAATCCAAGGAGATAGATAATTGATTCGCTCTTCCCCGTTTCAGTTCCCTCGATTTACTCTTGACAATTATGATCTGCCGTCCTTGCAATTTATTACTGTAGCCCATGAATGTTAAATAATGCAAACCAACACGGGGAAACACAAGCAGTAGAGAACGAAAGAGAGAGAGAGAGAGAGAGAGAGAGAGAGAGCGAGAGAGAGAGAGAAAGAGTGAGAAAAAAGAGAGAAAGAGAGACAGACAGAGAGGGAGAGGAAGATACTTTTTTAATCATGGTAATTGCTCTTTCACAACACCGACTACCTAGTTGAGAAAAAAGTACATTAATTGACTGTGCAATATCATTAGGCCAATTACCTGCTTAACAAATGATAAATTAATTGCGGAAAGAGAGGAAGAAAAAAAAGGATGAAAAGTAAAAAGTGGGAGAAAAGGGAAATCTAATCTAATAATCTAATAATCTTTTTAAAAAGTCCACTTCAAATTTTCAAAATGGAGTGAAAAAGTTACGTTATAGAGAGAGAAAGAGAGAGAGAGAGGGGGGGTGGAGAATGGGGCGAGGAAGAGAGGGTGAAGTGGATGGGGAAAGGAGAATAAGAGGATGGGAAAGGTGGGGGCAGAGAGAATACAAGAGGGAGGAGCGGAATGATACCTTTTTCTCTGAGTTTGTTATTTTATACCACCCTCTTCATCTATTCTTTCTATCCGTCGTAGGTTGCCTAGCATCGCCATGTAAGAATGAAGGTGTTTGTTCGGAGACGGACTATAGCTATGAGTGTGTGTGCCCTGATGGTTTTTTCGGCAATAGTTGTGAACGTAAGTAGATCTATTATCATTATCAGTGCTTGTATATTAATAATGACTGTTATATACCTCACTTAAGAAATCCAACCATCTGATTGGTCGAAATTGCAGTCATGGTTTTAGCCATTCCCGTAAATAAACGAAAAATGCCAAACCCATGTAATAGTTCGAGGGTAAAATTCAAGTTACCGGGAAAAATAGTTCAGTTTGAGCGAGCGCGGATACCATACATTTTGTGTGTGCGAATTGGTCGCTAGATAGCAAGTACACCAAAAAAAAAGGGCAGGCCCTTCGTGAATTAGTCTTTTTGTTATCCGTAGATCTAGGTCTAGATATAGATTGTGATTTTATTGCTTGCCATAACGGTGATACAGGTATTGAAGATTGTATAATGCAAGTGTTTGAATTCATTTGGTGGATGAAAAGTTGAATTCTACGCCGTTTTGTGCGTCATTGCAGTGCTGAATTTGGTGTGTTAGTCGCTAATTTCTGACAAGGTTAGATAGCTTTCCTGATGGTATTTCATTCAAAATTTCTGTTACATTGATAAGCACTGATTCTTGTCCTTACCTTTGACTTGTTTCTTGTCTGTTATGGTCATTTAATAGATAAATTACTTAAATTCTGAGCACATTTCAGTGACACAAAAAATCCAGCCCGTTCATAGTCCCACACACGTATTTGTATGTACCTTGTGCCCTAGCTTACACTGCTTAGTGCTGTCTCGATAGCGTTAACAAACTTGATTACCATGAATGGTAAGTCGCGTATGTATTATGACCCTTTTCGGTATATAAAAGTATCAATGACTGCTTTAACTTTCGAGACATAGTTGTTTTTATACGCTCTCGGGAAGGAAAGCCTCGGGCAATAGCTCGATTGTAACCTTCCCTTCAGCGTATAGAAACAACTATGTCTCCAAAAGCAGTCATTAATACTATACTTTGAGAGACATACTTGTTTTTATACGCTCAAGGGGAAGTTACATCATGCTATCGCCCGAGGCGTGGCGAGGGGTGATAGCACGGTGTAACCTCCCCGAGAGCCATAAAAACAACTATGCCTCGAATATTAAAGCAGTCATTATAAATTGTATATACCGAAAAGGGTCATAGAATACATGAGCGACTTACCAATCATGGTAACCAAAATAATCGCACAAAAAAATGTATGGTAGTCGCCATCCTCACAAACTAAGTTAATTAACACATAAACCAAAGGGGATCGCAGTACTCATACCCGCCTACCAGTCAATAGTCTTCTAAAATGTGCCCTAGGGCGCTTTTCAAAAGACTATTGACTGGTAGGAGGGGCATGGCTAAAATCACGACTCCAATTTCGACCAATTAGATGGCTAGATTTCTAAAGTGAGGTATATAATAACTATTATCATTATCTATTTAGTTCATTGGGTAAATTGATTTGCTGTAATCACGGTTATCAGAGATTATTATTTCAATTTAAAAAGTCTAAATATTTCTAATGAGATATATGGCTACTATTATTCTGTGCTTTTATCTGTCCACGAAATAGATGTATATTTGTAATCTTCAAAAACATTATTCTAATTACTTTGCATAATGATAACATAATATAATTATACATGTACATGAATAAACATATTAAAATAAATGTCCCCAAATATTTGACAAACGAATTTGTTTTACAGTACATTTTATTTTTCCATCCGTCTGAAATAATGACAAATTATTATTTTTAACAAGGATTTATACGTTTTTTTTAAAGATTCAAGTATTGATTGATAATAAGTTGTCTTCTGCACCCACTGGAAATGACCAGTGATTGCTCCACGCCTTGTTCATAATTATTTTCATCGTAGAAACAATGCGGTTATAGAACATATATATCCTAACGGATTAAAATTGTGCTATTTGTCAAGTAGAAGGCTATTATAAAGACAAAATCTTGAGATTAAGAAGAACTGTACTATTTTTTCTATGTTTAGATGTTGTTTGGAAATCTGTTTTCCTTATGTACTAAGCCTATATTATGCATCTTTGCTGTACGATGATCTAAATTTAGGCCTACCGAGAACATGCGCAGAACTGAAGGCACATAACTCTACAGGGACTTATCTCATTGATCCAGATGGCCCGAATGGAAACCTTTCTGATCCAGTGGAAGTTGAATGTCGAAATGGTAACTTTTACACAGATTGTCATTCAAAATAATAATTATTATCTATATAAGTGGGCATAAAGACAATTTGTTTAACAAGATGGGGTCTGTCGTCTCCTACTCCGAATCTTTCCACTTTGTACAGAGCGGAAAATAAAAATATTCCAGCCACCGTAACAACCATTGTCAAATTATCACATTCAATCCTGCTGCCAAGAATGCGTTCTGGTTGCTGGAATATTGTCAGTGTTTATAATGAACGAGGTGGGCTGAAAGACTTAATGATAAAAATTCGATAAAAAATGAATATATTTTGAGAGGATTTTGAGCGTTTGATTTAATTGAATCCCGACATTATTTTCAATCACGAATTTTTTATTTGTTTCTGTTGTTTTCGTCATTTTTTTTTTTTTTTTTTTTTTTTGGGGGGGGGGGGGGTAATTTTTGTTTTTATTTTTTTTTAATATTTGTTATTATCATGTTCTGTATGTATAGCATTATCATTATCATATTATTATAATTTTTTCAATAAAATGGCCTGTCGGAAGGTCCAACAAATTGAAGAAAAAAAATGAAGGGGTTTAAATTGATTTTAATCATACCAATATGGGATATGAACCAAAAATGATTTACTAGATTATGGGCGTTTATTTGGACTTACACTCCCATTAACCCTTACGCCTCAGTAGACGTTGATGCTTACCCCCATTGAGTACTCTCATACACAAATGCTACCCACCCTTGTCCACCAACCTCTGAAATGGACCCTAATGGCGTATCGCACCTTTTCTGAAATGGACCCTATATTTTGTTTTTGTGCGATCAGTGCTTGAAAACACCCCTTTATAAGGTAAACATCGACGACGCCGTATAACGCGGGTGCGTAGCCAGTCATGTTGGGAGTGAACCCCCCCCCCCCCCCCCCCCGCGGAGAAATAGCCCCAACACTGACCATTATTTATCATAACAATTTTGATGAAGGAGGAGCTCACATAATATAGTCATAACCCCTTTTCGTCTTTCACAATGCTGTCTTTACCCTGCCCCAAGGCGTGACCACCATTTCACACAACATTCCTGGTGAACAGCAAGTTCCTCAAGGCTTTGAGGATGAAGGTTCTTACAGAAAAGAGGTGGAATACACTCTACCCATGGATTCAATTGTTGCAATACTGATAAACTCCAAGAGCTGCAGGCAGTATATCAAAGCGTCCTGTTACGATACCTACATAGTAAGTGGCTCAGGAATCCACAACATTTACTGGGTCTCAAGACAAGGGATCGAGATGACAAACTGGGGAGATGCACCAAGTGATGTTACAGGGTGCCTTTGCGGTGTCAACAACAGTATGTAATGTTATTTCATTTTCTAGATAACTCATACAAAAAATTTCGGTCTGATCTGATCAAGAATGCTTTTAGTATATTTCGAATGACATTTTTGTGTTTAAAAAATATTGAGGTTTGTCACACTAAAGGAACGCCCTTGCCATCATTTTGAAATTTAGCTTTGTTTCGCGGAGTGTTCTCAAGATAAACATGACAATTAAAGGCAAAATCTTGTAGGCCCGTGTTCTACGGCGTCGACGCTGCATACTTTAGGCTATTAGGAAGTTAGTATGTGGTCTAAGAATTCCTTTGGACCCGGGGTCTGGTTTAACTGAATCAGTAGAAAATGGACTTAAGAAGTTAGAGTTATTATTTCATCAACCAAAAACAAGACTTTCAAGAAGCCTACGCATACACTATAGGGCCCAACCATGTAAATATCCATATCACCGCCTTGTGCAGGGCCTAAACTGTATACACTTAATGACGTAGTTGCTATTTAGGCAAAATCGATGAGTGATAACACTACTGCTAAATAAAATTTGTAGATTAAATTTCCTTCTTCTGTACCGTGTTTAGCTTGCCACAGTTCAGGGGATTATTGCAATTGTGATAATTCTAGGCAATGGATGACGGACGAAGGCTTCCTGAGGGACCTAACTCGACTCCCGGTAACCAGACTACATTTTGGAGATACAGGATATGCACATGAACAGACTTACTACGAACTTGGATTTCTCGAATGTCAATGAGGGCTTCATTCAAGAGAAAGATTTTTATTTTTGCATTTTCAAAGTATTGGAGCACGGGGTTGGGGGGGGGGGAGGTTCTTTAAAGCAAAACCCATGAAGGCCGTCGATCCGTCTTCAGGATGATAATAAATGTTTTAATCATGCTGGATGGGGGGGGGGCGTTTGGCTATTATATCTTTTTGTGATAATTCCCAAAGCTATTATAACGTAAGTGCCCCGTTTATGCTAGTACGCTATAAAAACGTACGGGTGATATAGAATAACCCCAGTAAATATTATGACTGCTGAACAAACAGCAATCATCCTAGCATTACAATGGATAGAAGACTTTCTCCCAGTTTCTTTGGTAATATCATCAGATTCCATGTCAGCCTTGCAGGCTATTAAAAACATGGACAAATCTAGTTTAGTTATAGAAATATCGGAGAAATTGACACAATTAAGCGTTTTTGGTATAGACATACATTTTGAGTGGATACCTGCGCATTGTGACCTACTGGTTAACGAATGAGCCGACAGTTTGGCTAAAAATACAACACAAAAAGAACACATAGATGTAACTGTACCACGGAATAGGTCTGAATTAACTAACCACATGCGTCATTTTTATCAGCATTCATGGCAAAATCAGTGGGAAACAATAAAAAAGTAGATTCTTATTTCAGATCAATCCATATATAACAAGACTTATTATTAACTTATCTGGTTTTTGTAGTAAAGATGAAAGATTATTACATCAAATGGAAATGGGAAAATGCAAATTAAACTTTTACAAATTCAGTATTAATAAAGATGAAAATGGCTTTTGTGATTTTTACATATATTAAACAATCGAACATTATTTATTGGTTTGTAAGAAATATGTAAGAGAGGGGATAAGGTTGTTTTCTCGGTTGAAAATTAAAGATAAGAGTTTAAAGAATTTACTGGGGAATGAAGATCATATGCACACTCTGTTGGCTTTCATAAAAGCTAAAAGTAGATACCAATCATTATAGCTAACGAGTTATAACTAACTCTCTTGGAGAGAAAGGGAAGGGAAAGTATAGTTTAGCACTGCACAGTTAACCCCTATTATTAATAATATACTCGCACCCTGTTCATGATCAACACCTAAATTATTGCCCGCACCATCGAATAAACGGAAGCTGCACAGTACATGAGTGGTAGGTCTATGATGATACCCACTGAAGAGGAAAAGAAACAGCGCCATCTAATCATCAGTGATGAACAACTAAAAAAAAAAACAGCACAGCCAGGCAGAAATAATCTTTTCAGATTGGTCAGCCTTAAAACCCAAGAACAACAACAACAAGAACAACAACAACAACTACTACTACATAAGCCTATATTTGATTGAAAGATTTGTAACAAAATAGTTGGGCAGATATTAGGGGCAGGATGTTTGCACTTTAATTTGGATGAACAACGCTGTGTCTCCTATATGCAACATTATTTTCAACTTAAAGACGTTTACTAATGCATGATAACTCAGTTTGGCACTTTAATGAGAACGGAACAAAGAAAGAAAGAAAAAACAAACTCTTGGCGGGGTAATTTGTGTCGATGTTGCTATTGATGAGGATGATGTTGACTAAATTCCTAGGGCAGTGGCATACCTACACAGGAGCACGACCACGGGTACCTATACCCCCATAGCGAGTGGTACAAATATAAGTGAACTCACGATTTACCACAGAAAGGAAATTATTAACTTATTCAAAAAATAACAGATCGGAGAGTGAGAGGGATTATCTCTTCTTCTAGTCTCCCGCTTTCTTCCATTTTCTCTTTCTTGTTTTTGTTGTTGCAAATTCTACATAACTTGTATTTATTTTTGTATTATTTTTCTTTGGATTATTGTAATTAATGTTATTTTGGTAAAACTGTCTTCTCTTGCATACACACTTGCTGAAAAACAGCCTAGGGACTACAGGCAGGTTTTTATTCAACACCGTATTGAAATAAATAAAACAATATTACACCAAAAACATCTGAAGGTATTTTCACTACCCATATTGCCTGCAATTACAACATTTACGAGCAAAAACCTGTCTGCACCACTGTAGGGTGGTACGAATCTATAAACTCGATATGATTAAAGAGAAATGTAGCCGCTAGATACATGATGATAATTATCCGACCAATTTGACAAGTGGAAGTGCAGCACTGATTGGGTAGCTTACTTCTATTGGTAAAGGAACGATGCAACCGTGTAGAGTCGGTCGACGAATATACTAAGTATCCGCCCCTCTTTCGTGTAAATAGATTTAACACAAAGAAAGTAGACTAGGATGTAATTTTGTATATACATGCATTTACTTGTGTATCATCAATTATAGTATTATTCATCTGTTTATCACTCAGTTCTTAGAACATTTCTACAACATGTTATTGTATAGCCACACACACACACTGGCCATGGAATGTTCGTGTTCCATGGCTGGGGGTGCTGTAGAAATAGGGTTAATAAATGGGTGAAGTATTCCCGGTGGCATTGTAATGCAGTACTTACAGTTTGTCTTTATTTGTTATGGGCGTTCCCCAACACACGTGCTCATGTTATTGTCTCCCTGTTTACCACAATGCATAATGTTGTAGATATACCGACAGTGAGAAAGAAATAAAAACTAGATTTGTAATACTTGTTTGGAACAAGTATAGGTGGGCTGATCCAACAAAAAATTGAGACAAAATAAAGAGTACATTTGAAATAGCTTTTTGTCTCAGCTACAACATATTCGGAGTTCAGCGTAAATGAAGCTAAAACGACGTAGATATTGCTCGCGAAAGACGGGAATGTAGAATCAAGTTTTGAGAAAAAGTCATGTCCCATAGAGAATACACGCAAAATGTGAAAAAATTAGCTTGCCTCCTTTAATCGCAAAAATACGCCATGATGCCTTTGTCAAAATGAAAAATTGTGACAACTGGATTTGTAGAGAATTGTCTCAGCTAGAACATATCAAAAT